AAAATGCTGATCCACTGGCTCTTCAGATTCCTCGCCTGCATGCTTGACTGCTAAATAATTTGCATGTTCAGAGAGAGGTTAGCAAGGAAGGATCTCCCATGGGGCTGTCCTCCATTGGATGGGGCTGACATGAGTAGGGGCCGGGACAAGGGGTGGGTGAGAGGGGCGGCTGCTCTGGGCGCAGTGGTACTATGTGAGGGGGGGCACCGTATAGAGAGTTCCTACCTACAAGCTGACAGGAGTAGTGATGGCAGCCTCACTACTCCTGTACAGAGTCAGGCCAGCGGGGGGGGGGGGGGGGGGGGGGTTACTGGAACTGATCCCCTTCATGGCTCTCTCTGCAGCTGGCTTCTTTTCTTCTCTTCCTTTCAGCTACTGCAGATAAAGAAAGGGGATCAGTCCCAGTAATTGCCCCCCCCGGCACCCATCACCTCCCTGTGCACCTTATGTCCCCCAGCTGCACAGGCCCCCCCACCAGCTGCTGCAAGCACACAATAGGATCCTTCAGAATAGAGAGTGGGGGACGGTTCTGGTAAACATATCAAATTTACCAGCCACTTCCTTTCCTAAATGAACATGAGTGATCAGTACTGATCAGTCATTGTGTTCATTCATACCTGAAGCATAGCAAACTGTGTTTTTTGGGGGGAGGGGCCCTGTCAGGTTGGCCGTATGGGGCCCCGTGGATTCTAACCGCAGTCCTGCTCCTGTCAGCTTAGCTTTGGAGGAGACAAGACAGATCTGAAGAGGAGGAGAGCCGGGAGGAGGGACAGGCTGTGTTCTCTCTCCCCTCCAGCTCCAATTCCTGCCACTGCAGCTCTCCTGGATCAGGACTGCTCGATCGCCACTGCGCAGGGTTTTCTCCCAGCGAAGAATGTGGGTAGGGGGTGGGTAAGCAAACAATGCCCAGTGGCAATATGACATCCAGTGGTATCTCTAGTGGGGGCAAGAGTAAAATCCGAAATGCACACGTTCCTGAGTTAAAAATGGCTGTGTGTTTAAGAGGACCGTCGGCTGGAACCGAACAGAATCAGCATGGTCACATGCCTGATGAAGGGGTCCTGCGTGACTCTGAAACGTTGCCTGGTCACATGCCTGATGAAGGGGGCCTGTGTGACTCCGAAACGTTGCCTGGTCACATGCCTGATGAAGGGGTCCTGCGAGACTCCGAAACGTTGCCTTGCTGTAACTATGTGATCGTTCATGAAAATGTTTGGACCCGAATTAGTGATCCTCGGTGTGCTGGTGACATTCTCCCCCTTATCTCTAATGGGGGCCCCCAATTCTGTGATCTTATAGCCCTCCTATAGTGCATGAATTTTTTTTTTTTTTTCGGGGGGGGGGGGGGTGGGGGGGGGGGGGGACTTTTGCTGACACATAATGCTCATACATTTGGAGGGGCACCATTTGCCCTGGGCGTTAGAGGACCTTGTCCTGGAACTGATTGGGTGACACCGAGGGAGGAGCTGTAAAGGACAATTTCACCAAAAGACCTGTCCTTACCCCGAACTATGCATCTTAATTTCATGTCCATTGGCTGGTCCAACATTTCTCAATCGAGGTGCCGTGGCCCTCTGGGGTCCCTGGGAACACAGGTCACAGTTTGCCCTGGATCAGCATCACATATTGCCATAGTGTTGGTGGGCTAGCCGACAATGCCTTAATAGCCAATTAACGTCTGTGGCCAGGATTCACACCATGGCTACCCATGACACCTGTCCAGGGCAGGCTGAATGCAGGGCAGCTCCAATAATTCAGAATAGGACAGACCTGCTCAGGGGCGGACTGACAACTCATGGGGCCCCCGGGCAATAGGGGATCATGGGGCCCCTGTGTCCTTGCCCAAACTCAAAAAAGCCTATGAAAAAGGTACCAGGGGCATCTCATGGGGCCCCTACTGACCCCGGGCCCTCGGGCAGTGCCAAGTTTCCAAATGGTCAGTCCGCCCCTGGACCTGCTCCACCTCCTGCTCTCCGCAATCCTGATAGAGTGGGATAGAGTTTTCATGTGATGAGGGGACTCTGATGTGATGGTGGGGGAGGGGGGCTCTAAAGTATAGGGGGCAATCTAATGGGTAGGGTGGGCTTCCGATGGGAGAATTCTGTGATGGTTGGGAAGTGAGGACTCTGATGGTCAGGGGTAACCTCTGATGTGATGGTGGGACTCTGACATGAAGGAGGGACTGTCATATGATGGGGTACCTTTGATGAGAAGGGGGGCGGTTGTGTGCACCATCCCAGGCTTAGGTTCCCCATTGATGATAAATAATATTTACATTCTTCAGATTAGGGGCCCCAAGATTTTCAATGCTTTTAAAAGGGAGCTGGGTCTGAAAAAAGGTTGAGGAACGATGGGTCGGTTGTAGACACCAAGGGGTCATCAAGGGGCATCCATGTAAAATGCAACACACGTATGGCTATTCCACTGTGCTGCAAGCAGGCCCAGCATACATGGGGGGGGGGGGGGGGGGGGGGGGTGACAACTCTGCTCTGAATTCAGGAGCAGTGCAGCATTGTTGTCACCCCATCACTAGGTGAGCAGGACCAACGGGTACAGTCAGGTCCATAAATATTGGGACATGGACACAATTCTAACATTTTTGGCTCTATACACCACCACAATGGATTTGAAATGAAACGAACAAGATGTGCCTTAACTGCAGACGTCAGCTTTAATTTGAGGGTATTTACATCCAAATCAGGTGAACGGTGTAGGAATGACAACAGTTTGCATATGTGCCTCCCACTTGTTAAGGGACCAAAAGTAATGGGACAAGTGGCTTCTCAGCTGTTCCATGGCCAGGTGTGTGTTATTCCCTCATTATCCCAATTACAATGAGCAGATAAAAGGTCCAGAGTTCATTTCAAGTGTGCTATTGCATTTGGAATCTGTTGCTGTCAACTCTCAAGATGAGATCCAAAGAGCTGTCACTATCAGTGAAGCCATCAATAGGCTGAAAAAACAAAACAAACCCATCAGAGAGATAGCAAAAACATTAGGCGTGGCCAAAACAACTGTTTGGAACATTCTTAAAAAGAAGGAACGCACCGGTGAGCTCAGCAACACCAAAAGACCCGGAAGACCACGGAAAACAACTGTGGTGGATGACCGAAGAATTCTTTCCCTGGTGAAGAAAAACACCCTTCACAACAGTTGGCCAGATCAAGAACACTCTCCAGGAGGTAGGTGTATGTGTGTCAAAGTCAACAATCAAGAGAAGACTTCACCAGAGTGAATACAGAGGTGTCACCACAAGATGGAAACCATTGGTGAGCCTCAAAAACAGGAAGGCCAGATTAGAGTTTGCCAAACGACATGTAAAAAAGCCTTCACAGTTCTGGAACAACATCCTATGGACAGATGAGACCGAGATCAACTTGTACCAGAGTGATGGGAAGAGAAGAGTATGGAGAAGGAAAGGAACTGCTCATGATCCTAAGCATACCACCTCATCAGTGAAGCATGGTGGTGGTAGTGTCATGGCGTGGGCATGTATGGCTGCCAATGGAACTGGTTCTCTTGTATTTATTGATGATGTGACTGCTGACAGAAGCAGCCGGATGAATTGTGAAGTGTTTCGGGAATATTATCTGCTCATATTCAGCCAAATGCTTCACAACTCATTGGACGCTTCACAGTGCAGATGGACAATGACCCAAAGCAGACTGCAAAAGCAACCAAAGAGTTTTTTTAAGGGAAAGAAGTGGAATGTTCTGCAATGGCCAAGTCCATCACCTGACCTGAATCCGATTGAGCATTTCACTTGCTGAAGACAAAACTGAAGGGAAAATGCCCCAAGAACAAGCAGGAACTGAAGACAGTTGCAGTAGAGGCCTGGCAGAGCATCACCAGGGATGAAACCCAGCGTTCTGGTGATGTCTATGCGTTCCACACTTCAGGCTGTAATTGACTGCAAAGGATTTGCAACCAAGTATTAAAAAGTGAAAGTTTGATTTATGATTATTATTCTGTCCCATTACTTTTGGTCCCTTGACAAGTGGGAGGCACATATGCAAACTGTTGTAATTCCTACACCGTTCACCTGATTTGGATGTAAATACCCTCAAATTAAAGCTGACAGTCTGCAGTTAAAGCACATCTTATTCGTTTCATTTCAAATCCATTGTGGTGGTGTATAGAGCCAAAAATGTTAGAATTGTGTCCATGTCCCAATATTTATGGACCTGACTGTATTTGTGGGACTTTTGCAGGGAAGGGTAAAAGAACACTTTTCAGATGGGCTACAAATTGTACTGCGGCATATTTTCTTCTAACGGGGGGCCCCCATAGCTGCACTTTGATGCTCCACCTTCGTGAACGAATACACAGCAACATGGCCGAACACTTGGCATAGAGCCAGATAACGAGGGACAGTTCCTAAACCTGCAAGAAGTAAATGAGGAAATCTCCGTGTGATCCACATCAAATAATTCCATCGCTATTCAGTGACACCGAGAGCCGCATTCTACATCTAGCCCAGAAATAGAGAGAGGACAATGACAACGGTGTCACCCGCGTTTGATGGAAGGGGCCCTCCTGATCATTCCTGCTGATTCCATGTAATTAAACAATGGAGGATGGTGGAGGAATCCAGCGGGACGCGGGTTATAATGGAGCCATGGGGGGGAGATACTCATAAGAGGTCCATTATGAGGCCAACAAAACATCTTCATTCTGCAATGTGAAGGACGTGCGCAGACAGAGATCCATGCCGGGCCCAGGCTCACCGCTCTGAGCATCCATCCAGCAGCTGAGATTAAAGAGCCACTCCGCACGTAACTGATATTTCAGTATTTGAGGATGCTGGAGAGCTTCATTTACACGCACTGGTGAGATCTATGCCCAGAGTTCTAGGATCTAGATGCCTACTGTGCCCATTATGAGGGGTTCCCACCATCCCTGTGCTAAGTTCCCAGGTCTGTACACTGCTCTGCCCATTATGAGGGGTTCCCACCATCCCTGTGCCGAGTTCCCGGGTCTAGATGCCTACTGTGCCCATTATGAGGGGTTCCCACCATTCCTGTGCTAAGTTCCCAGGTCTGTACACTGCTCTGCCCATTATGAGGGGTTCCCACCATCCCTGTACTGAGTTCTTGGGTCTGTACACTGCTCTGCCCATTATGAGGGGTTCCCACCATCCCTGTACTGAGTTCCCAGGTCTGTATGTCCGCTGTGCCCATTATGAGGGGTTCCCACCATCCCTGTACTGAGTTTCCGGGTCTGTTCGCCCACTGTGCCCATTATGAGGGGTTCCCACCACCCGTGCTGCATTCCCGGTTCTGTACACTGCTGTGCCCATTATGAGGGGTGCCCACCATCCCTGTGCCGAGTTCCCGGGTCTGTACACCCGCTGTGTTCATTATGAGGGGTTCCCACCATCCCTGTGCCGAGTTCCCGGGTCTGTACACCGCTGTGTTCATTATGAAGGGTTCCCACCATCCTTGCACTTAGTTTGCGGGTCTGCACACCTGCTTTGCCATCTGTATCCTGTTCCAGTGACCCCGTGCACTCCAGCTTGTGTTCTCTTGCCTTTGGTGACTCTGCCTGCCATAGACTGTACTCTATCACTCCCGTGTCCCCAGCATCCCAGTTCCCTTTCCTGTGACCTCCCTCTCTGGTAGCCGCTTGCTTAGGGTGAGTATGAGCGCTGCAACCTGGAGATGTCAGCAGCAGAACCATCTGTAGAGTGCTCTGGTGAAGACCAGGCGGCCCCTGAGACCCTGCATCTTGGCCCCTCCAAAGGCTCCTAAATAACTAAGCCCATTGCGGTGAAATGCATCAGGGGGGCGGTTCTTATGTTGTGACACATCTCCAACACATTTCACAGCAATGGGCTTAGTTGTATTGACTAGGTCCATTTTGGTGAAACGCGTCATGAGGTGGGGACATGTTGCGACACACATCTCCAACACATTTCACAGCAATGGGTTTAGTTGTGGATGACTAGGTCCATTTTGGTGAAACGCGTCATGAGGTGGGGACATGTTGTGACACACATCTCTAAAATGTTTTACAGCAATGGGTTTAGACATGGATGATTTCTTATTTAGCTGTAGATAACTAAGCCCATTTAGGTGAAATGCGTCATGGGGTGGGGGTTCTCGGGTGGGGACATGCTGTGAAACATATCTCTAACATGTCTCACAACATTGGTTTTAGTTGTAGACAACTTCTTGTCTAGTAGAGCACTAATCCATTTTGGTAAAAACGCGTCAGTGAGGGTTTGTTCTCCGGTAGGGACATATTTGACACATATCTCTAACATGTTTCACAGCAATGGGCTTAGTTGAAGCAGACTTCTTGTCTAGTTGTAGATGATTAAGCCCATTTTGGTGAAACGCGTCAGTGGGGGGTTCTCGGGTGGGGACAGGCTTGACACTTATCTCTAAGGTTTCACAACATTGGTTTTAACTTCTTGTTTAGTTGTAGACAACTAATCCATTTTGGTAAAACGCATCAGTGAGGGTTTGTTCTCAGGTGTGGACATGCTCTGACACATATCTCTAACACATTTTACAGCAGTGGGCTTAGTTGTAGGCGGCTAGGTCCATTTTGGTGAAACGCGTCATGAGGTGGGGGACATACTATGACACATATCTTTAACATGTTTCACAGCAATGGACTTAGTTGAAGCAGACTTCTTGTCTAGTTGTAGATGACTAAGCCCATTTTGGTGAAACGCACTAGTTGTAGATGACTAAGTCCATTTTGGTGGAACGCGTCATGAGGTGGAGACATACTATGACACGTATCTCTAACACGTTTCACAGCAATGGACTTAGTTGAAGCAGACGTCTTGTCTAGTTGTAGATGACTAAGCCCATTTTGGTGAAACGTGTCAGTAAGGGGCGATTCTAAGGTGGAGGCATGCTATGACACATATCTCTAACACATTTCACAGCAATGGGCTTAGATGTAGATGACTAGTTGTCTAGCTGTAGATAAACTAGGCCCATTTAGGTGAAATGCGTCATGAGGGGCGGTTCTCAGGTGGGGACAGCCTGTGACACGTATGTCTAACACATTTCACAACATTGGTTTTAGTTTTAGATGACTTCTTCTTATGTAGTTGTAGACAACTAACCGATTTTGGTGAAACGCATCAGTAAGGGTCTGTTCTCAGGCGCGGACATGTTGTGACACGTATCTGTAACACATTTCACAGCAATGGGCTTAGTTGTAGAAGACTTCTTGTCTAATTGTAAAAGACTAAGCCCATTGCGGTGAAATGCGTCAACAGGGGTGGTTCTCAGGCGTGGGCACTCCAAATAACTAAGCCCGTTTTTGGCAAAATGCGTCAGTGGGGTGGTTCTCATGCTTTGACACGTATCTCTAACAAGTTTCACAGCAGTGGGCTTAGTTATAGGCGGCTAAGTCCATTATGGTGAAACGCGTCATGAGGTGGGGACATGCTGTGACACGTATCTCTAACACATTTCACAGCAATGGGGTTCTTGTCCAGACTTCTTGTCCAGTTGTAGACGACTAAGCTAAGCCCATTTTGGTGAAACGCGTCGTGAGCTTGGGATATGTTTTGATACGTATCTCTAAACACATTTCACAGCAGTGGGCATAGTTGGAGAAGACTTTTTGTCCAGTTGGAGACAACTAAGCCCATTGCGGTGAAATGCGTCAGTGACGGTAGTTCTCATGCTTTGACACGTATCTCTAACAAGTTTCACAGCAGTGGGCTTAGTTATAGGCGGCTAGGTCCATTTTGGTGAAACGCGTCATGAGGCACAGACATGCTGTGACACATGTCTCTAACACATTTCATAGCAATGGGCGTCTTGTCCAGTTGTAGATAACTAAGCTAAGCCCATTGCGGTGAAATGCGTCAGTGAGGGGTGGTTCTCAGGCGCTGGCACTCCAAATAACTAAGCCCATTTTAGGCAAAATGCGTTAGTGGGGCGATTCTCAGGCTGTGACACATATCTCTAACAAGTTTCACAGCAGTGGGCTTAGTTATAGGCGGCTAGGTCTATTTTGGAAAAACGCGTTATGGGGCGGGGGCATGTTGTGACACGTATCTCTAACACATTTCACAGCAATGGACTTCTTGTCCAGTTGTAGACAACTAAACCCATTGTGGTGAAATGCGTCAGTGGGGTGGATCTCATGCGGTGACACATATCTCTAACATGTTTCACAGCAGTGGGCTTAGTTATAGGTGGCTAGGTCCATTTTGGTGAAACGCGTCATGAGGTGGGGACATGTGGTGATACATATTTCTAACACATTTTACAGCAATGGGCGTAGTTGAAGAATACATTTTGTCCAGCTGTAGATGCCTAATCCCAATGCGGTGAAATGCGTCAGTGAGGGTTGGCTCTCAGGCGGTGACACACTGTCACGTGTACAATCTCCAGCATGTATGTAGAAGACTTCATGTCTAGTTGTCGAAGACTAAGCCCAATGTGGTGAAATGCGTCAGTGAGGGGTGGTTCCCAGGCAGTGACACACTGTCACATGTACAATTTCCAACATGTTTTGCAGCAGTGGGCTTAGTTGTAAGAGACACAACGTGGTAAAATGCGTCACGGGCGGCTCTCAAGCGGTGACACACTGTCTCGTGTACAATTTCCAACATGTATGTAGAAGACTTCATGTCTAGTTGTAGACGACTAAGCTCATGTCATCAGTGAGGGGCGGCTCTCAGGCACACACTGTCAAATCCCAACATGTTTAGAAGATGTAAAATGTCGCTGTTGATGACGAAGCCCATTTTGGCGAAACGCGTCAGCCCTTGGCGAACACTTTGGATGCTGCCTGTAGTTCAATAAAGCTTTTACGAATTGAGTGTCATCATCGGCATGTTGCCCGCGGGTCATTATGTTGCTGGGTAGACAAGGAGTTAAATCAATGGTGCGGCGAACAAACGGGGGGCGGGGCTGAAATCAATGGTGTCGGGTGCTGGAGTATTATCGTCCAATAGGGGGGTTCCAATACACCGGAGGAGCAATGAACCTTCACACGAGTGCGCACCAAGGGGGACGTAACAAAAACGCCAAACGTTGTCGCTTTCCCAACTCAGCGGCACATTTTAGGCGCACCACCGTGCGTGGGCCCCCGTATTCACCTCTATAGATATCAATGGGGCTCGGCGCCGGCACGCAGCAGAAGCGTCTCTGTCGCCCGGTACGAGCGATCTCCTATTCTTCCCATTTATGAGGGGACCTTGACAGAGGCAGCGAGGTGGCCCCGGTTGTTGTGCTGCGTTGCCATGGTGACGGCGGCATCCATTGTATCACAGTACCTTAAGCGAGCGTCTCCATAGAGACGGCAGAGGATGGCAGAGAGTGTCTATATACAGCGCAGACACGGCGCACACGTCGTCGCCACAGAAAATCTTTCCGTGGAAAGATCCGGGTTATCTGGCGACAGATCATCCCAGCCAATGGTCCAATAGGACGACAGCCATATGGGGGCAGTAACCCATAGCAACCGGTCAGCATCATTGCGACCGCTGCAAAAGGGCGAAGCGCGGATGCATCTGGTGACCTCGGAGGATGATGGAGGCATCCCAATGATCTGTCTAATGTTAGTGGTGTGTGGCGACCAATCAGCTTCTGTCTTCAGCTTGTGCGGTTAAGCTTTGAAAATGAAAGCTGAAAGCTGATTGGCAGCTGCTCCAGTTTCGATATATTACCCCCCCAACCTTTGACTTTATCCTCTACCTGAGCGCCTCCTCCTATAACAAATACGCAAAGGAGAGATGGGGGGGAGGGGAAACCGGGTCCAACTACAGATCGCTGGGCCCATTCACACAAACGCACTGCAAAGGTTAAACGCTGGTCTAACTCTAGGGGTGGGAAAAGCATTTTGAGAGTTGTCACCCTATAACAGGAGGTGCCTAAACAAGGACAATGGGGTGACAACACAAGAGCACAGTGGGCAGATAGGGGCAGAGCGCTGTCACCCTATAACAGGAAGTGCTTGAACAAGGACAATGGAGTGACAACACAAGAGCACAATGGGCAGAGCGTTGTCACCCTATAACAGGAAGTGCCTAAACAAGGACAATGGGGTGACAACACAAGAGCACAGTGGGCAGATAGGGGCAGAGCGTTGTCACCCTATAACAGGAAGTGCTTGAACAAGGACAATGGAGTGACAACACAAGAGCACAATGGGCAGAGCGTTGTCACCCTATAACAGGAAGTGCCTAAACAAGGACAATGGGGTGACAACACAAGAGTACAGTGGGCAGATAGGGGCAGAGCGTTGTCACCCTATAACAGGAAGTGCCTTAACAAGGACTGTCATGGTAGGAACACCAGGGATTACTTTTAGGACCGGTTCATACCATAAAGGGTGCGCCTGAACAAGCGCAATTTTAAATTTTTTTTTCGGTGGCCCAATAATTTCAATGGGCTGCCAAACATGCTGGAAGGTGCCAAAACTACCGCAGGCGCGTCAT